GATAAAGATTAAAAGGATTAGTGGAGGGAAAAACGACTACTCCCAGAAGCGGGACCAAATAGAGTAAATATAGCAAAATTGAATAAAAAATTGTGACAAGGAATAAAAAATCACTAGTAGCATTACCTATGGATTAGTTCAGTGAAAGAATTCTACGAACCTCTTGGGCCAGTGAACACGTCGACCAGCACGTGTGACAGGGGTCTTACTGGTGACGGTAGGAGAATCATCATTCACCACTGGAGGTGAGGTAGTTGAGTCTGGACAAGGACTAGGTTCAGTGGGGCTATTTGATTGAGCCGATGGGGAGGGTGAAGGTTCTTCAGTGTATGCCGCTTTAAGTCTGTCTATGCTGACAGTGTCTGGGCGGCCGCATCGGTCAATAACGAAAAATTTATCTTTACGACTAAGGACCTTAAAAGGCCCGTCATACGGTGGTTGTAATGGCTTTCGTATGGCGTCGTGACGCACGAAAACGTGTGTACAGTCATCAAGTCGCCGATCAACCTGAACCTTTCGGTTCTGAGTGCGTGTGGAAACTGGTCGGAGTCGCTGCATAAAACTTTTAAGTTGCTGAGCGTAACGGGTGGTATCGGGAAATTTGGCTCGAAAGTTTCGGGAGCGATTAGCTCGCCTGGTAAACGCATGGTGGTACCGTACACCAATTCAGCTGGCGAGCACTGCAGATCCCCCTTAAGCGTAGCCCGGATGCTAAGCAGGACCAGTGGTAGCGAATCTGTCCACTTACTGTTGTCCACTGCCATCAACGCAGCTTTGAGTTGACGGTGGAAACGTTCTACTAGGCCATTTGCCGCGGGATGATACGCGGTTGTGCGAATGCGTTTGCATCCCAGCATCTCTAACAATTCTTTGAAGCTTGTGGATTCAAATTGTTGTCCGCGGTCGGTAGTGACAGTTGCGGGACATCCAAAATGGGCAACCCAGCCTTCCATGAAGGCACGACAGACGGTTTGAGCCGTTACATCTGGTATCGGAATGGCTTCCGGCCAACGTGTGAAACGATCCACACATGTGAGTAAATACGAGCAGCCGTTAGACGGGGGCAGAGGCCCTACTATATCCAGGTGGATATGATGGAACCGAGCGTCTGGGGTCGCAAACGTCCCCAACGGCGTGATGTTATGCTTGGTGACTTTAGCACGTTGGCATTGCACACAAGCACGTGTCCATTGACGCACATCACGGTTCATACCGGGCCACGCAAATCTCGCAGAAATCAACTTGTCCGTTGCTCGTATGCCAGGATGGGAGAGGTTGTGGAGTGACTCAAACACAGTTCGGCGTAAAGACGTGGGAACAATCGGTCGAGGAGTACCAGTTGACATATCGCAAAGTATAGTTGCCTCACTGTTTAGCAAGGGGACGCGTTCTATCTTCAGTGAGGTTTTATTTGACAGGTGTTCTAAGTTCAAATCGTTCAGTTGGAGTTCGGCCATTTTATGAAGATCGATGGTTGGTGGTACGGACGTAGCACATACGCGAGACAAAGCGTCTGCTACCGCGTTATCCGATCCAGAAACGTGCTGGATATCAGAAGTGAACTGGGAAATATAGTCTAAATGGCGTGATTCTCGCGGTGAATACCGGTCTGAAGTAGTGTGGAGGGCGTACGTCAATGGCTTATGGTCGGTAAATACCGTAAATTGCCGGCCTTCCACGAAGTGACGAAAATGCTTGACAGCAGCATAGACAGCGAGAAGTTCCCTACCGAATGTGCTGTATCGAGATTCGCATGCGGTAAGTTTACGTGAAAAGAAAGCAATCGGTAGCCATACATTAGCCATACGCTGTTGTAGGACGGCTCCGATCGCAGTATTAGAGGCATCTACGGAGATGCTGATTGGAAGTTGAACATCTAGATGGACCAACATTGTGGCGTCAGCAATAGCTTTCTTGATAGCTGCAAAAGCTGTCGAGGCTTCCTTAGTGAACACCAAAGACTTGCATTTCCCTTTAAGCATATCAGTCAAGGGGGTCACGATATGAGCACACTGTGGGATAAAGCGACGGTAGTAACTAACCATCCCGAGAAAAGTGCGTAGTGCCTTGGGAGAAGTGGGTAGAGGGAAGTTTTGAATAGCTTCTACCCGGTCAGGTAACGGATAAATTCCATCTTTGTCTATCCTATGTCCCAAAAAATTCAGGGAAGTGACTCCAATCTGACACTTCGGCAAGTTGAGTGTGAGGGAGTGTGTCACAAGTCTTCGGAAAACTGTCTGCAAATGAAGTTGATGAGTGGCTTCATCTGGACTAGCTACCAAGATATCGTCCAGATAGGCAAAGGCGAAATCAAGCCCGCGCAAAACGTCATGTATAAAACGCTGGAAGGTTTGGGCAGCGTTCCGTAAGCCAAAAGGCATTCGAAGAAACTCGAACAGGCCAAACGGTGTAATCACAGCAGTCTTAGGTATATCCTCGGGGTCGACGGGAATCTGGTAGTAAGCCCGTGTAAGGTCCAGTTTGCTGAATACTCGAGCTCCCTTGAGTGAGGCGGTTAAATCGTGTATGTGAGGGACAGGGTAGCGATCGGGAACAGTTTGTGCGTTTAGTCTGCGGTAGTCGCCACAAGGACGCCAATCTAAACCGTTATTCTTAGGTACCAGGTGCAACGGTGAGGACCACGGGCTGCTGGATGGCCTAATAATCCCCATTTCTAGCATATGCTCAAACTCCGCTTTGACAACCTTTAGTTTTTCTGGGGATAGTCGCCTCGGCTTTGCGAAAACTGGCGGGCCAGTAGTGACAATATGGTGTTTGACGTTGGAAGTCGCACATGGCAGGCCGCTGCTAGGTTTGAACAAATCTGAAAAAGACTGCAGTATATGCGAATAAGGACCAGTGCTAGTGGGTGTGGCATATACAGGGCTGAGGGCTGGGCCTTGTGTGACGATACCGCTGACGGAGAGGTTTGTGACAGGATCTCTTAACTTATGATTACCTGTATCTACCAGTAATTGGTAGTGCTGCAATAGATCCATGCCAATTATACCTGTGGTAACGTCTGCCACCAGGAAGACCCAACGAAGTGAACGACGCAAACCGATGTTAAGATCTATAAAGCGCCTGCCGAACGTAGCAATTGGCGAACCGTTTGCGGCTCGTAGTTGAAGAGACATTGGCCGCCTGCGCTCCTCTACTGTGGGTGGGATTACACTGACCTCTGCTCCGGTATCAATTAGGAAGCGTATCCCAGTGTTACGGTCGGTAACATAGAAGAGGCGACATGAGAGCGGTTCGCCAGCGACGTTAGTCGCCAGTACGTGCTGGCTTGCTAGTTTCCCGATTGTTGAACATCGAAGGTGCACGGGCGAGTGCACTTTTGGGCTTTTGCTCCGTAACGTCGATGATACCAGCACACTCCAGGCTGGTTACTTCGGGACTGTCGGCGCTTGCTGCCAGCACGTGACAAGGGTCTACTACTACGCGAACTCGAGGGACTGCGTGCACGACTCCTGGAGTTCATCTCCTGTCGTATACTACAGATCTCCTCGTATAGCTTGGCTATATGGGCCACCGCGTCAAAGCTTGATGACCCCCCGTCAGACGAATCTTTAGTCTGAGCGGGAGCAGCAGTTACTGTTGCGGAAATGCCAATTTTAGGATTGATGGCCTCTACAGCTCTATCAGCTGCCTCGGCTATCTCCTGTAAGGGGTACTTGTAGATCGGTGCTAAGATACCCTGGACTGCCTGAGGTAATCTTTGAAGCCAAAGTTGTTTGAGAAAAACCTCGTCAATTTTAAAGTCCGCCACTAGCTGCTTCATCTGCCTCAACATTTGTGAGGGCTTGCGGTCACCTAACTGAACATCGCGGAAAAGTTCCTGCACTTTCTGTTGGTCAGTAAGTGCGACTCGTTGAATTAACGCCTGTTTGAGCCGCTCGTACCGATCCGGAGACGGATCTGCGAGAACGTCAGCCACCTCGTCTATGACACTTTCAGGTAGGCTCACAATCACGTGGTTTACTTTGGTCTCTTGTGAGTGTATGTGTCTAATGGCAAACTGAGCCTCTATATGATTAAACCATGCAGCTGGACGATGTGTCCAGAAGGCGGGGAGTTGCAGCGTTATAGCCATCTCTGACGCAGAACTGTTGTCAGCCATCTTGCACACAGGACACAATATTAACAAGGTGATAAAAAAACCAATATAAGTACAAAGAAAACAAATCAAATCTTTATAACCGTGCGTGAAAGAAAAAAATAACAAAATAAACGGTACGTAAAAAGAATTGTTAACACGTTAAGCTACTATAGCGGAAAACGGTGAAAACGGGCTCACCACTTGTAAGTGTTGGAGCTAGACTTAAGATAGTCTTCGATATCACCACACTTACTAAAAACTTCACCGTCTTATGACTTTACGAGTACTCTACCTAACGTGTAAGTACTGATTAACTCAATCAAAGTTTAAAAGCTAACAATGGAAAGAATTCTTAGTATGAGTTGTATTTAACGTAACTGAATAACAGATTTAATAAATAAAGTGACTGTACAACTTAGCTGCAGACGTTGCTGGAGGTAGGCTCGGAGAGTGTGCAGAAAGAGAGCACAACAAGAGAGCGAACCAATGAACGTACGGAAGACTCACAACTCAAAAGATAAAAAGTCTATCACCGTGGGTGAGCGAGTTTAAACAAAAGTTCAAAGGTACAATGTGCACTACAGGTTTAACATAACCATGAAGACTCCCGTGAGAAATTTTGAGGGGGGGATTTGGAACATATACAAGAACGTTACACTATGTAATGATTTTTTAGCAGAGCATTACTTTCATATAAACGTTTTATTCAAATTATATGCTTTTCTATAGAGGCGTCTGATTGGGCAAATTTGTCATTGTCAAGGGCATTTGTCCGCTCGCTAGATAGTTTCTACTCGGATTTCTATAGTTTGGAGTCACCCGTAAACTTTAATAATTATAATTTTTCCCTATGGATAGCTCATGGTATTCCTAAAGGTTTGTTTTAACTTTCCCGATCTCAAGGACGTGTTTGCTACAGGACTTGAAACATTGGACACTGAAGTGTTGATGTATCGGTGGCGCAAGCTGTGGATTGTGTGATGTTTTACAGTGGCCGTCACCTGATCTTTTTTGACGGAAAAAATAGGTATTATTATGGTTCAGTGGTTATTTGTCTCAGGGAATTCAATATAGACATTGATTTGAGTCATTCACACGATTTGAAGAAGGTATTATATAATCACATCTAATTCATCATCTGTGTACAGGAACTCGAAGTTCGACTGACGAATGATGATGACCTTTGCTTTCTCTATTATTCGCGAATAAACGTAGATGAATTTTCAAAGTTAGGACCAACTAAATCAAATTCTAATGTGGTTTTCAGAATTAAGCAGCAGCAAGGCTTGCTAGTGAACTTCAGCGATTTTGAGCAGAAGGTGGTTGAACTACTTAACGTTTGCTCTCAGGACGAATCTACGGAAAATCCCAAGTTAGTTCGATGGGTTTCCCTCTAACCCCTAGGTATGGTGTTCGATTCTCAAAAAACAGTGAGGAAACAAATTCTGGCGTTCTGCAGATCGTTGAAGCCACTAACTTTAAATATCTTCATCACTTAAGCCTAAACCTTCGCGCAGCTGATGATGAAAAACTCAAGGTGTATCTTGTTGGCTGTATAAAAAAACACAAGGTAGTCTTTGTTGTCAAATTCATGTTCTCAGAGCGAAAGTATTGCCCAAATTCATCAACTCAACCAATCACTGACAGAGCTTACTTCTTCCCTTAGGTCTGCAGAAGAGGTATGTCTGCCTTCATCTGCATTATTTTTAGGCCAAGAGGTCCATATTAGATGATTTTGAAAAGTATAAGGAATGTTGCTCAAATAAGGAAGCTAATATACTGGCTAAGCATGATTTGGCTATTAAAGAAATGGAGTCTAATCACGCAGAAGTTAGTTCTCATGTATTTGTTCACATTTTTGTCAGGTGAGATCAAAACTGGAAGTGCTGCTATCGAAGGAAAAAGATATGGCACGTCAGATGCAAGAAGAGTTGCGAAGGGACTTCGAGAGTCGTTTGGATTTGGCTTTGAGTAATAATAAGGTAGATTTTCGAAAATCATTTTCTTTGAGTTTTAATGTACAACATACTCTCCTCGACGTCATTAATAACCATTGGTGTCCGCTAGCTACAAAAATAATTGTGGAGTATATTTGGTTGCATATTTTGTAGATATTCGATGTGGCTGATTGGTGCCATAGAAAATCTCGATATCTCACACTATCCTTCTTAGACAAAGTAATTTTAACCGCCAAGTTTCCAAGTTTTGAAAAAACTGCATAGAAATTAAGTTTTGAATTACCAGGTGAAATCATGTCAAGTAAAGCAATTCTTTTATTTCTTCGAACACTTTAGTTTTCGTAATTAGAGGTTCAATTATTTAATTGAAGTTCAGCTTGGATATTTCGAAAACCGTAATTATGAAAGTAGTCATTTAAAGACTTATGGTCTAGTCATTGTCTAACGGTTAAATACGATGCAACTGACAGACCAGATTACTGGTATGAATGGTCACATCAAAATGTCACTTACAGAAGAAGTAAAAGAAATAATGTTACTGGAATAATTGAATTAATGTCAGTAAGCAAGTTTGAACATGAAGGGTGAACACAGAAAACAATGCTACCGAAAATTGTGGAAACTCACGAAAATACACCTAAAAAGTAAGATTAGTTGACAAAATGTGTTATGGTAAAAGTAAATCAATGCGTCCATCATACTACCTCTGTATCTAGGCAATATCACATGAATCCCCCAACATTGCAAGTGAAAGTCGTACATTTGCGTATCTAACTCACTGAGTGACTTCACTATTGGAACCCACCTATCTATAAACACCCTCATCTCAATCTAACCTTATTTCAGCACGTTAGCATAATTATTACCATTATGCGCAATAAATAACATTCTGGCTTAGTAAAAATTAGAAACAGAGTAAGGAATAACTGCACTTATTTATTCAGCTGTATTTGGTGTCAAATGTCTAAACTAGAGCCGTGACCATTTGCACTTTATCCTAAAACATGTCCTTGCAATCCATTATCAAAGGACCATTTGTTTAACGTAGAATTGTATTTTCCTCTTATATATACACGAAAATTTTGAGATTAAAACATATCAATCATTTGTGCACCATAAATGGATTAGCGAATCTTACGTTTTAAAATAAAATTTTACCGTTTTAATTGCTGTCTACTGCTTTCTCAAGAGTTATTCTCAAAGATATGTTATTTCGACAGTTTCCTTGTAAATGCGTAAAAAAGAAATTATTACATGGATTCACACTGTAGCTCTACGTTGATTTATAACAGCCATTTGCTTGTCAAAAAAAAATGAAAACCGTGATAAAAAAAGCAATTAACTCTTTCTATTCGTTATTACTTGTTTTCCATTACTGTTTGTAGTTTTCTGCAAAAGTCTTCCTTCTCTCGTTCTGCGTTGTTTGTAGGAGCATAACATTAGGTAATTGCGACCTTCATTCCTTCCTTTTGAGTTGGATCTTGATATCATGATCCTGGATGAAATTGGTTCCCACTGCACTAGGGCTCTGGCTGCCACTGCTAATCTCATGATAGCCACTCACTGCCTCAGTGCGCTCGTGGTTATCATCTGGGTGACCAGACCGGAGTAGAATACTGATTCTTCAGTTGACAGTTTTGACAATCCACTTTGATCCCATCTGCTTTTGCAGAAACCCAGAACTTCTATGCCATATCGCCGCATTTCTTTGGCTATCTGGACAGCCTTCCCAGCCTCGTACATTGTACGGACATTCCACGTCCTCTTTCTTATTCTTGCTTTCATTGAAAGAAGACACATCTACTGACTGGCTTCCCGAAGGCTTTCACCAACCCGCGTCATGTCGCCTCTCCGATTTCATGATAATAATAATATTGTTTCTATTTGAAGTTTTTGTATTTTTAATATATTTTCTGTGCGTTGAAGTTTCTCTAGAGGTTTGATTGGTTCAGTGGTATGGGGTTGCTAGCCCCACGTGCAACCCTCCCTCTTTATCTGCGCTTGGAACTGGCTAGAAAACTAGCATGCTAAGTAACTGGGCAAGGTTTTTATTTTTGGCTTGTGTATATTCCAGCGTGTGAGACGAAATGAACCACCCGTGAATTCCAGATTTTCTAAAGTCCCTTCGTCGATTTAACCGCGTCCTCACTCATCTGTGTCTCGCGACGGAGTCCATCACAAGTCGGAATATCATCAGTGATAGGAAGCAACTTTGTCTTTCACCGGCTTTGGCGAGTTTTCCCTTGTGAATTATTTGGTGAGCGGTGTCATCACACAGTTGTTGAATGCTACTGATGAGTATTTGTGGCACTGTCCACCGTAGTGTTGCAGCACTTTCGAAATTACTTCGCGTTCTACACGGTCGAAGGCCTTTCTAAAGTCGATGAAAATTAGTTGAAGTATTGACTGCCCTTTTTGGACTGCGTTCAATGATGTTACTCTTTGGTGTTAAAATCCGGTCTCCAAATTTTCTTTCCGTGAATCCAACCTATTCCAGGTGATATCTATCCACGGCATCTTTTAGATGATGTGAATTAATATTTTGCTGGGGTTGGATAGGAGAATGATTATGTACCAGTTCTTGCATGGGGTTAAGTCACCTTTATTGGGACTCTGAAAAGACAGCCTATTCTCCAATTGGCAGGCACCTTTCTTTCATTCCAAACCTGCAGTAGTGGCGCGAGCTTGTCCGCTGATATCTCTTAATCGATTTTCAGAGCTTCTAACGAGATTGCATCCAGTCCTGCTGCTTTCTTGAGTGGGTTTTAGCACATTTATTGTCTTAAGGACTTCTGTTTTTAAAAATTTAGGTTTCTATAAGGATTTGGGTTAATTTTACTACGGATTTCGTCAAGAACCAATATCAGTTCGAGGACCTATGTTCAATCTCTGGTAGGGTCGTTGGTGCGCATTTCTGACGAGTGTGAGACTAAGATGAGGCAGTGGCGAATTTCTCCTTGGTCTTCAATGATCTACAGCTGATAGAGGCTGCTGAAGGGATCTACGTTTGTTTTTGTTGGAGAGTTAGTGCAGCGGTAGTTCTGTGTAGTTGTTTTATTTCTGGGTGAGTTGCAGGTCGTGATGAATTGGAGTTTTTTTTTGAAGGGACCAACCCAACGTTTTCTTTATTACTCTTTTTGTTTTTAGGTTTCCTTCACTATCTTTCAAGTTTTAATGTTCATGTTTTGGAGCAGTGGTGGACTACTGAATTTATAACTGAAGCAGTGATATTTCATTATCATTACTATGATACTCGGGCTTTTTGTTTTGTTTCAAGTATTAAGGTTTTATCAGTTTTGTATGTTATTCACCGTTGATCTACATTCCTGTTTGAGATACAGAATCATCTACAAATTTAAAATCAGAAAGCAAATAAACAAATAATCCAACTACCTATGTGTAGAATCTACCGATAATCGCATTTGTAACGTGAATTTATATCCTAGAAAAGCAACTATTTCGATAATGTTTGACAGATTGTAGGCATACTTTACATATGCTTTTGGTAGAGTTCTATTAGATTTAGAGGTTTTTGGTTGTAAATCCTAATTAAAGTTAATGCAGTTTACTTGTTAGCCAGTGTTAAGACTATCCAACATAGGTAGCGAAAACTTAGACACTTGAACTGATTCATTTCTTTATATTCATATCTTTGCATGAATAAATTCATGACAGAACTAAAATAGGTCAGTGATTAGACCATGACATCAATCTATGGATTATAAATATGGTCATTAACTATTAGAGCAGGCCTTTAAGGAGAGTGTATTTCCCCCTAGTTGGCATTTACATCACTTTAGGAGCCTGTGCTTAGAGATTCTAGGTGATATTGCTTGGGATCGATCGTAGTGCTGGAGATGAGGTCATGCCTTGTTTTCATGTGCTTCTTAACCCAACATTTATTTATTTGCTTTACTTTTGTTATCCCTTTGTATGTGGTACTCTGTGACTATTAATTGTATGGTTTTGATTGTGTTATTATTTTTTTGTTACCGTTTACTCGGTCTGTGGATATATTGTATGACAACTTGGGCAAATTTGCAGCAGTACTAGGTTTTTGTCAATAATGTCTCCGTATTTTCTGTCACTGGCAGTTTCAAATTTCAATGAAACTGTTTACGAAATTCCATCATTTCACTGCAAAATTTTCAGTATAAAGATAAATGGAAGATACTTGGTCAGTGTATCTTGATTATGGCGTCAGTAGCATGTTTTCTTGAGTTATTCACTATCAACTAATGGTAGTGTTAGGCTGAGCGGAGAGATATTATGAGTCAGCGTTTTCCATGTGATCTGTTAATCAGACATTCTGCTTAGGCTCGCGTCTTAAGATTTTACTAGTATGTGCTAACCGGTCAAAACAGAATTTGCATTTTAAACTAGTAATATATTGGTCGTATGAAATTTCACTTTAGATAAGTTTACTTGGTATAGTATAGTGATACAGTATTCATAGCTGAATGACGTTTTGAGCACAGTTTTTCGCTTATAATCATATCAGTGTATTCGTACGGTGTCACAAGTTATTTTATATATTTTTTATTTTCCCCTTGTTATGCTGGGTATATGGTGAGTTACAATGAATAACAAGTAGAGGAAAAACAACATATAAAGCAGCTTGTGAAGCTGTATAAATACATTGATATGGATATGAGCAGTAAATTGTATTCGAAACGTTATCCAGTTATTATTACTGCATTATTCTTATATCAAATAAACTTATGTAATTTGGGATTATATTCTGTCACAGTGCCCAAGTTCTACATATACATTAGTTCGTGTGAAATAACTATATTAGTAGCTGTATTTTCTGATCATGTCATTTTTCTCTTGAAGGAATAAATCTTTGCCTTCTCACACTAGTTTCTGTGCCCTGTGAGTGTGGGAATAGTTTACTGTCGAGCAGTCATATAATGTCGTGCGTTGAAGTGTCAGAACAAATCCAAATCTGGTATTATCTTGACCACTACGGGTGGACTTTTCTTCCATAACAATGATTTCACTGGCTACTCATTTCTCAGTCTGATTCAAATCAGAATCTATATTGATTGTGACTCCTTTTCACCTTTGCATCACATTTTAAACAGAATCTACGTGATCATCAATCTGTTCTCCAGACAAGTTTGGAGGAATTACAAGAAAAGCTAAAATTATTAGAAACAGAAAATGCTTCCCTTAATAAGGAGCTCAAAGGTATGTTCTATAAAAACTTCATATCATCTATAAAATTTCAGAATGTGAAAATAATTCTCTTACATTCGTGTGGTTTTCACTCTTTTATACAGTTCCTTTATTGTGTTATACAACTATACTTAGACGTTAATGTGCTACCGCATTGCATCCTTTCTATTCCAGTATACTTATTTTTGCGCCAAAAGTTTTTTTTATTTAATGTTCATAAGTTTCTATAGGCATGTAGTGTAATATCTCTTAGGAGAATGCTAACAGATTAATTGTAAAAGTCATGAGTGTGGACATGCTAGGTGTTGTTGGACTTGCATATTTGACTGAGTATTCTATTATGTACAGAAAACACCACAGTCATTGTGCTCTGGAACGATGAAGTCCCGATTAATGATCTAGTAAGTGACTTTCAAAGTCATCTTAATAGTTAACGTCGTTTGAGAAGTTGTTAACAATTGTATGTTGTTGGTCTGTGGGTCAATTAGGTTCAATAGCTTAAGATTACTACACGTGTTGTATTAGACTGTGATCACATCATCAGGTAAATACATATGCCGGTCACTTGATTTGTTTGTTTCACCTGCAGGTATTAGTCGTAGTGTATCACTTAGATGTTATTTTACAGCTTTGGTATACAACTCATTTCTTGATACATTAGGCGCCCAAACAAAAGACCCACTTCACTTACTAAATCTTGAGCAGCCATTAGCATGATAAGTAAGGTCCACAAGGCAGTGCATAAACATCGTTTTATTTGCACTCAAAATTTTGAAAATGCAGTAGAGATAAAGACAAAAATTTAAATCAGTTAATAAGGTGAATTAGTGACATTTCTGTCAGTGAATAAAGTGTTTTCAGAATATATATATATATATAGGGTAATAGGAAAAATGACTTCCTAGGTATTTGTGAAAGGCATTTTCAAATAGTGATTGTATTCATTTTCTTACAGTGGCTTTTGTGTTGCTAGAAACTGCGAAGCGCGTTCATCATGAAAAGAGGATTTTGTTGAATAGCATTTGTTGAATAAACTGGTAGTTGTATGTTTGCGTCTGGTGCTTTTTATAGTCTTGTTTTTCATTCCACTGATTTATGAGGATGAAACTGACTCTTATGAAAGACCTAAATGACATTTCCTTCTTTTACTATCTCAATGTTTTGATTAACCATCTTTACAGCCCTATTTAGTAAATATGTTCTGAATCATAACTCAGGTTCAACATTACTTCACATAGAAATTCATTCACTTTTTGTTGGTATTTGGATTTCTTGTCGCTTCTTCTCCTGCCTGTAAATCATAATCAGATTGCTACAGCTTTCTTTGAATTTATCTTCAAGGTATTCATTGAATATTAGCCATTGTGTATTGGTGTAGTTTGATTCGAAACTAGTGCTCCATTTAAGCCTAAGTGACTCTCCAGTCTCATTAACTCTTACACAATACATGTGACCTATTATTGAATTCTAACCAGTTCACTAGTTAGTTTCATGCACATTTCCTCATCATGAAATTGGAGGGAGAAAGAACTAAAGCCGGAGCATAATAACTTGGTACCCGTTAATTTTTCGGCGTTCCTCTTCATCTGTGTGCAACGTGAAAAGTAGCTACAGGAAAATACAGTTCATATCTGACATATCTGTAATGTACGCCCAGGTCAGCATCAGTAATTAATTTGGTGGTCATGAAAAGTCTTCTCAATAAAACAACACTTAACTCAATAAATTAATAAATACAAGCTGGGTAGAGAAAATATGATTACGCTGCTTCATAAAGGACTTTCATAGTATTGAACTATGGTTCTCACTTTCTATTGTGAGTGATTATAGTTTAGACTGAATTTTTCTTGTCTTCCTGTGTCATGATTAGCCAACAGAACCAGCTGTAATCTTACACTAGTTCAAAAAACTATATTGCAATTGAAATTTTTTAGTATCTAATAAGTACATAGTTTGTTTTCACGTAAGTTTATTATTCCATATGCGTGAATAAGTAAAATTACCAAATAACGTCAATATTTGCATTTTCAATGTCTCCAATAGTTATCAGTTTCCTTGCCTATCTGGTTTTCTATTTTAGATTTACGTTCTCAGTTAGATGCGGCCAAGCGAACTTATGATGTACAGGCTGAAATGGTTAATCAGCTGCAGTCTAACATTTCTGTATTAGAACAAGATGTAGCTTCCAAAGACAAACAATTGGTGGAATTAAAGAATTCGCTTACTAAAGAAGAAGAACAAAAGGTATCACATCATAGAAGCCTACATATATCACAATTTTGTATCCTCCAGCTTCTCCATTTTCTAATTCATGTTGTCTCTATCCTACCAGTAACATCCATTATGACTATTAAATTGCAATAACGATCTAATCACTACAATACGATACTCTATGAGGTCAGTTAGTTATAATGCTTGAACATTTATCTGTAAGCTGCTCTACCTGTCGGTCTCGCCTAGAAATTATCGATGTGATCACACATCTTAATAGTTCTGATCTTTGGACACACACAACTGACCGACTCCGGCTTAACCTACTGTCAGCTAGTAGTCAGGCTACTCCTGACGTTACCCCAACTAAAGAAGGAAGAATGCAGTACTGCAATTAATAGTGTTCTCTGAGCTGGTTGGTTTAGTTGCGGAGCTTTCATATGCCGTACTCATGTATGCTCTAAGATATATTTTCCTGAAGTAGTACATTAAGATTATAAGGATACGCCAATTCAGTACAATTTAGTAGTCACTTTCTGGATCCCTGAAAATAAAATTGTCTACAATATGGCTTCTCTGATTGCCATCAGTAAACATTAACAAATGAATAGTTGAAGGCGACATAAGCGAAGCCTAACTGGGTTCACTAATCACTGTTATTCGCTACAGTACTACAGTAGTAAATAAACAGAACTATACTCTTCACAAAATGCATGGAAAAGAACGAATTTCACAAATAATGAGTTCGAAAGGGAGGATTTCTTTGTGAGCACTGAAAAGATGTTTCGTTGTAGTTTAGGATTATTCGTTAGTGCAAACTAACAACCTCGCTGACTACTGAATACAGAACCGTCAATTAGAAGAAGATTGGTCTGCTACAAGGCGGCTAGTAGTACATAATTCCCACTGTTAGTCTATTTGTGTATAGAACTACTTGTCCAATGTCCTTTGGGTTATTTACTGATTTATGTAATCCCAAGGATCTAGCTGAATACTAGGAATTTAGTGAAGATATTTATTTTCATTTTATCTTTGTTTTCATATGCATATATGAAATCATAGGTATTAGATGGTTAGAGGCAATACCCAACAATTCAAAGTGCACCTTTATGGCGATCCACCTAGCTTGGTGGTAACATTGCAAACATGACTGATACAATTCAGTCTGGGCCAAAGATAGGACTAGACACATAACACTGGTTAAGAACCAGTGTACAATCAAAAAAGATATTTACATGAAATCCTCTGAAGACTGGTCTTTTCGTCTTTGCTCGAATATCTTTGTATAATTGTCATTGTTAGCGATGCCTTCTACAATCGAAGTTGATCATACTGAAGAAAACAGTACGATAGTACACGGTAGTCGCACTATATTTCAATGTCAGTCATCGTGGAGTCTCATTGTCAACTTTTATCTCTGTAGCATTGATTTTCGTATTCTGTTGAGATATTATGGCTGGTCTAACACATATAAACATGTACCAAGAACACTGAAATTCAACCGAGGAGGATACAGTAACTTATTTTTATCGTGAAATGTATGCTTTTCGTCATGCCGGAGTTGAATCTACTCAGTTCATATATTGTTTTCTATTAACTCTAGTGACCCGAGTTAAAGTCGTTAGTTGTGGGTAGATAAAATCCTGCAAGAGATTGTAGTAATCCTATGATTTTTCTATCTATATGTATTCTAAGTTATTTCTCAGTATCTATGTGATCACTTGAAGTACACCAACCGCTTCGACAGTGCTACTGGTACAGGAATTATTACTAATGCATTCATTATTTTTCCGTCATTACAAAAAGCGCATTAGATGAAGTCACTAAAATTCTTAGGCATACTAACCATTAAGACTGGATGATACATGTTGTCTTAGGGCCTGATTTCAACCCAACTCGGTGGTGTGGAGTTTGAATCTGCTGTACATTTTTAAGCGAATTGAGTAGGGATTTTACTCGCTTCCAAAATGTAGAGTAATTGTCTCCTGTTATTTTTTCCATGTTATCAAGATGAGTTGTATTTAGTTTGGGACTTGAATAATATCCTGTCTGATATGATTCATTTGTACTACACTAAACTTCAGCTCTCGTGCTAGTGTGCTATGAAGTATTCACTATTGAATGCAAACCGAATGTTATACGTGTCTTTATTTACAAACGCATAGACATTTATAAAATTTTTATTGATTTTTCTTTCCATTCATCCTTTATGCTATCTTATTAAATGAAAAAATTAGAGAAACTACGTTTTTCGTAATATGCCTTGATCGGATATTTCCTCGTAATATATTTTTTTCAGTCACATGCTCTTGAGCAGTCGGAGCAGCAATCTCGTAATATCCAGAGTTTGGAAAAGATGCTATCGTCAAATACAGAAGAAATCAACAAATCCAATGAAATCATCAAACGTTTACAAAACGAGGTTAAGAGTTTCCAAACAAAAGTGAGCATTGTGTGTTCCTAAAACACTTTGATTTCTTCACAAAGATACATGAAGTTATGAAAAAATGTCAGAGGTTACTAATATATATGAGCACTCTATTCAGATAAATTCCCACCCATGCAACACCTTTCCCTAGGACACTTAATAACTTCTTAGAAGAGACGGCTAGAACGTTGAATAGAAAGTCGTGAGGAGCAGGTACACTACAGGCACCCACGACCTAACGCTTACCTGAATAGCGTGAATCCATCAGTTCTGCCGCCTGGCTGAGGCTGCAAAGGTTCTCTCTAATGTGAAACGAGGTAAAGTGGCTGGATCCGATTGTAAGTCTCTAGCAGTGTTTAAGTTTGCTAGTTTTAAACTATTGAATAGGTTAACTAAGGTATTAGGCAATGTGTGGCAGTCTGATATAGTCTCTTTGAAATGATGTTAACCATTGATGATTATCCCAGCTAATAAGAAGCGGGACATATCTTCCTGTGATAGTCACAGAGGAATCAGCTGGACTTGGTTGCAGGTTCTGCGGAGACTGTAATTTAGGAATTGGAAAAAGTAAATCTGAAGAAAGCAGGTGATCTTTAAGCTCGGAACATTAGTATAGATATAGTCCTTCTAGATGAAGACGCCAGAAAAGTAAAGTTTCATGAATATTACGAGAAAGAATATGAGTATGTTTAGAATATGACTAACACCTACCAATAGTGAAGTCGTGTTGCAGAACTGCTATTTATCAACTTCAAGTTTATGAATAAGAAGAGCAATTGTTAAATGTCTGAGTCATTTCACTTATTTGAGAAGTTGTATCAGCCCTAATGAATTGTTATAATTAATGGATAAGACAATATAAATGTGAACAGTAGTATTAATAAATGGTATTATATATATATATATATATATATATATATATATATATATATATATTTCCGTGGACAATTCTTGTGGAAGATGATAAATAAGTCGGTTCTCTTTCTTCACCTGAATGTTGTGCCGTTTCATCTTCACCGACATGTCCAACTTCATTGAATAAATTAGATTCCATATCATTAAGAGGATTGACTTGCTGGATTGAATTATTCATCAACTTCGAGAAAAAATATTGTTCAGGACACTCAATAAGTGCAACGTTCGAGTCTGATTCTACAGGTACACAATGGTTTGATGTAATGTCTACTGGAGGTCCCGTTTTGGAAGTACCTTGTAATTCAGGTATTATATGGTCATTTTCTGATATAGTATGGAAAGTTTGACAATTGTAATGTAACTCTTGATTGTTAACGGGCTCCGAATTGGGACTGGGAATACACGATGTAGGTGAAATGTTTGGATAATCTATAAAGCTATGATAGGTTTTTATATGTGGTGGATATTGGTGATAGCAATCCTTATTCACCTGAGTATCTGCATCATCTAACAAACTTTCGTTTGTAGAACTCTGAGATTTCAGGATGGGCGCTTTTCGTAATTGCCGTGACTTAGGTTTCGTAAATGAATGCTTTCTTGCGGCTGGGTTACACTTCTTTTGTGAAGAAATTGGAAGCTCTTGGCGCTTATTCATTTGCACTGACACGGTTTTTGAAGCTTTCCTCTTAACATTAAGGCGCCTCTTTGCAGGCCAGGTATAAATTTTCCGGAGCATATTTTAATGAATGAAAATTGGTCAACGTTGCAGAATCAAGGTGATATTGCTTGACCAAGAATTGAAATAAGTAACAATACCAACAAAACTCTCAACTAATTAGTAGGTACGAAGCAATCCTATGTATTGGCAGGTCAGAAGAATCAAGTTAAGGCACAAGTCATCACATTTCATACAATAGAGCACAAAAAGTAATAAATTTAACAGCTGTATTTGTGTTGCATGACATGCTCAGCCATTATAACGACTGACAATGAAATAAATCCCAAAACTCAATACACAAGCTAAACAAGTTTGAAATGTAACACCAAACCTGTTCGCTGAGGAGGGCTCACTGTGGATACAAAAGGATCATTTTGAGTTAACATCATCTTTGGCACAGCTGGGATTTTAATTTAATTTTTGATTACAGCTTGATTCTACACCGTATTTTTTGGTACAAGTATTGAATTTTCGGCACATGATATCGGTAACCCAAATTTTGCAGACCGACCATAGATATCAGGTGAGCGCCAGCAGAGTATCGAACCTCGGACCATGTGCATGGTCAGCGAGAGTCCTAACCACTGTGCCACCGACACACTATCTATCAAAATATCTGCATCGATTGAGAGGGCTAGGTCGTTAGCTTTGCTGAATGATCCACAGATTTCCTCCTGATTAAGTTGGGAAAAAATTAGGGATGATCAGATGAAATATGGTACTCATCCATGAAGTTTGTGACTGTTGGTTGAAGTCACATAGACTGTTTGGCCGGGGCATTGGAGATATTAAGAATCAACTATTGGGGTCATAAATCGAAATCGTTCACATTGGTACAAATGTACTTATTCCGTGTGGTCCTCTAGATTCTGGAATTTCTTTTTACCCTTCATATTATTATATTATTATTACTGTTCCCTTGGTTTCTGAGTGGAACATAGGGATTGAGTAACACATCTCCACTTTGTTCTGTTTTCTGCTGTATTCTTCATCTGGGCTTACGATTGACCATAATTTTGATCTTCTCCTCACATGACCTTCTCTATTTCACCTTCGGACAACCCACTCGTCTCTTCCCATTTAGATTCCACTCGGGGGCCTGGCACACGGTGAAATCCGACGGTCTCATCAGCGTCTGCCAAGTCTATCTCCTTTTTCTACTACATATTTGTTGAACGTTAGGTTCTTGGTTAGTTTGTTCCCATAGTTTCTTGTTGCTTATTGTTTCTGGTCGCCCATTTGATCTTCAGTATAGAGCCAGCAAAGTCAGCTGTTGATAAAAGTCTGCAACTGCCTGTTGGAAATCCTTTTCGAGACACGCTGGCCAAGTTTCTGACCCATATAGGAGAACTGACTGACTTACTCCTCATATGATTATTCTTTTTCCAGTACATTTTCGTTTATTGTAGTTTTATTTCATTTCTTTTCCCTACTGTTATAAGGTAACCTGAACTAATGTACTTGTATAATCCAGTTCATTTCGAAAATTTACTAGATTGTCTGTAAGCTTCTGTGTAAAGTGTGTGACTGAATGCCTTTAGGATGTCAGTCTGTTGACATGGATATATTAACCTTTCTTTTGTTCATTAAATTGGTTTCATTTTATTCACATGGCTGAAATTGTGTAACCATTGTAATTCGCTATTTTGCGAAGTATAAATAACCTGAAAACTTTCAGCACGCACAATCATATTGGATTCAGGGATTTACGTATAATGATTACGCCATTTTTAGCTTCAACTAGTTTTGCTTAAATACTTGCATTTATTCACTTTGTCAAAATTTAATAGACATTATTACACAGATTCAACTAAATGTTTTACTCTTGTAGATTAAAACGAATAGTAATGCCTATTGATATTAGTTGTTACTATAGTTTTACAACTAAGGAACTCATTAAATTTGATATTGGAATCAATATTTACATGTGAAGAATTTATCCTCCTTTTTCCTAGGCTAAACTACGAGGTCAAGTAGCAGCTGAACAGGAACGTTTGCTTGTCTCTAAAGACTCTGAAATTCAGAAATTAAACGTTGAGTTAGAAGGTGTAAAATCAGAACTTTCAGATGTCACAAAACGCAATGCTCACATCGTTGAAGAGCACAGACAGGTTGTCCAAAATTTGACAGAAGCTCAAAAAACAATCAAATCGAATGAAGCAAGTAAGCAGCCGGGAATTCTGATCAGTAACTATCATGTTTTTTTTAAAATTTACATTTCTAGCTTGAAATTTAATGTAATTGTTTTCATGTGTATAACTACACCTCGTCTATTGTTAACTATCTACGGTTTTTCATAAAAACAACATAACACAATTTATTACATTTGAACAGATCACTCGATATCCATCTCAAACAAAACTTCTTTCGGTCTTATTAGTCAAACAATCCTGAAAAGTATCAACCAGTCACATGCTTCCAACGACACATAAAATGTATCACTTTGTCAACTGTCCTTCTATCTTTGTTGTTACTTAATCCACTGTAATACCCGGAATATGTCCCCTATACTCCTTTTAAATTTCCTGTACTCTAGTTGACCACTATTAACGACTCAATTGAGTGAAACGACATTCATAGTCCTCTGATATCACCTTATCATTTTTAATAGAACTTTAAACGTATGAGCGTTATTCAAAAGCTGAGCATAGTGGACCCCAATAGTAAATAGTACATGGTATCTCTAAACGTGCAAATAAAAGGCCAAGGTTTCTCTAGTCATATAATTTCCCCTAACCGGTTGAATGAAGATATAAAATTCATCGTACATGCTTCGGGAGATTTTACTGTTAATCCTCCATGAATGGTTTGTGTAGAAATAATTCCATAGGTGGAGGGAATTATCGCTTGTCGGAAAACATTTATCTGTATTCTGTCTGGTTGAATTGTTTTTCTTAAGACAAACATGGAGTAGTGATAGAATACTGGCCGACCACACAAGTCGTCCGGGGTTCGATCCCCGGCCGACGCATACCTGCACTCCCAATGAGTGATACTATTCTCACGGGTATCAGCCTAAGCGTCCTCACTAACACCCAACATGTCAACACAGGCTGGACATTTCTGTCCGACTAATCAACAAGAAAATCAAAACTGATTTATACAAGAGATGGTTCTCATAGCCCAAGTTGTCTACTGGATAACGAACGCTTCGGAGTTTGAAATGATGGATACTGGATGAGTTCGCACATCATTTGGGACACCATCGATTCCTGGAAATGCAGGTACTTCCAGATGACGAGTCCCAAAGAGGAAAAATTATGCATCTTGAAACATAGGTATTTTCTTTGAGTTTCAACAGGAAATTTATCATTTCCTGGAGTAGATGTACATCCAGATGACAAGCCTCAGATAGGACGGAACAAACATTCTGTATTACACTACGCCCGGTAAAGAGGGAAGGCTATGCGTGAGGTTAGCAACCTCATGCTGTAAAAATAAACACTAAAACTTCGAGGTTCTAGCTGGAAACCATATATTCCACTGGCAATGAAAATGAACAAATAAATGGAAAATTTGACTGGACATTCTGTAATCTTATTGTCCATTCTCATACTGGTAGGTCATGCTTATTACGCAGTTTGCTGTCATAGTGGCGATAAAATCTGTCAATGACCTGAAAATGAAGTGTATTAAAAGCTTTATGTTTCATTCCAACTAACTAATACAAGAATGTGTGTTCCAGTGGTATCTGAAAATATTGAAACTAAATGTATACTCACCGGAATTTCACGCTTGCTACCGTCCCAACCATCTATGCGGTATTGAATTCCTTCGATCAAAAATATTGTAATATTGTTTAGAGGGTTGATTAGTGAACAAAGATTATTCTTTTCGATAAATTCGTCATCAGGTTATGTGATTATATGTACGTAATAATTAAAGAATTATTGTTATTACCAACATTAATATTTTGAGTTACATTGAATTAATGTTACCGGTAGATTACTTTTCAAAAGCATCAGTGAGAGATGATATGCATCAGTGTAATAATAAACTGAATATGAGACAAATTAATGAAAGTAACACAGAATCTGTGAATTTATAGGTTCCACAGCAGACCAGAGTAGCAACGGTGACTGGACCTGATTTTATTTTGCACGCAATTCCGGTTGCGAATCGCAGTAACCTCTGCTGTTTGGAATGTTCGATATCTGAAGACCTCTGGTAACTTATTCGATATTCAATATATGATAGAGAGAGACTCTTCAGTGTTAACTTTGCGACCTAATTGGACGAGGTGATCTAATATGAGACTGTTGATGGTTTCAACATCACATGTACTTAGTCACACTGGTCAATGTTCGTGAGCACGATAAACTAATTTCCTAGAGCATTGGGCAATATAACTGACTCTATGGGAGCAGCTAAACTGAAAGATACAATAAGAGGTGGCTAGCCTAGGTACTTCGTCTTTCAGTTTCGGAACAACAACCGCTTACTGGCATTAAACGTTCTTTGATTCTATTGTTTCAACTTCCTGGTTATTATTTCACTTGGTATATCACCCTCGAAATGTAGTCGTACATATGTAGACGCTTTCGTTTGTTACTTATCTCTGTGACCCTGAAAACTCTAGTGTTACAATTACATAAGCTTGTTTGATAGAACACCCAGTGATCCGGTGTTAATAGCTGGATGATGTTTCGAGCAGAATTTATTATTCATATTTGTATCAGTGAATTTATTTAAAGAGTTATATAGCTTTACTGTAACCTAGGTAAGCGATAGGTGTTGTAATTACCAAATACCATGTAAAAACTGTAACTTCAATCATATTGGTCAAACTAGTAAATCAGGCTCATTTAAGTTATCGTAACATGAAAATTTAGCTAGGTTTAGAATGATTGCTCTCATTAAGTTAAATCTCGAATAAAGCTTCACTATTGATGTGCATGCTCTTCCATGTAATTTATAGTTTAGAAATATTACGAAGCAGTATAGTTAGGTTAAGACAGACTTTAATCACTGGATATTTGTTCGTGAAACCAATATCATACACGTACAACAAGAATGATGCAAAACGCATCCCTGAAATAGAAAACAGGAGTGCAAGGCTGTATAGTTAAAAATAATAATAATAATAATATATCGCCGTGTGTTCTATCAAATAAACTTATCTAACATGGAATTCTGTTCCACCATAGCGCTTAAATTTCTGCTCTTATTTTTGTGTCATAGCACTGGACTCAAATCAGCATAATTCTATTTTATGATGATTTTACAGTTATTGCCTGGTTAAACCGTCAAATTGCTGAAAACGATTTGGGTTATGTACAAAGTCGTCTAAAGTCGTCAATATTTCCAGTTATAAGCGAACCTAATACATCAAATGTATCTTCAACTGTCACTTCAGCAAATGCAATGGTTGCTTCTTCAGGAAACGAGGGGTACTTAGCATGTAAAGGTACACATATATCAAATATACCACAAATAAAGCCTCAACTCTCCGTTATGACACAATCAGTCACACATACATCTCCCATTATGGTATCATCGCTGAACACAAATATCGTAACGTCAGCTGAAAAGAAATATTCCGAAGTAACCGCTAATTCGTGTGTCAAAAACCTTTCGTGTAGAATGAATGATATGGTAAGTATTTAATTAAAGTGTTGGTGTCACGAACCCATGGTGTTAAAAATCCCTTAAGACTAAAGGTTTACAACCACATGCTATATTCAGCAATGGAACTTGCTCACCTGTAATTATCTAGTGAAACAGCCTCACTATGTAGCACGTTCTGTTATTGAATAATTTTATCTAAGCTAACTTCAATCCACAGTATCGAAATATGCGTCTTCTTTTGTAGAATAAAGTTTCTCACTGATGCTTGTAGACCTGCTTTTAATATTTACTTGCATCGGTTTATTCAATAGTTGGAAACTGACGTATTAACGAAAGCATTGTTCTTCGTTTCCGTTAACATCAAAATACTTTTCCAGGTGACGCAGGAATTACTTCAAGACTCGTTTATATTTTTGTGCTTCTACTTTCAAGGGTTTTTCGTTTCTCCTTCTGCTTTCTTCTATCCACTTTCGATCAATCTTTTTGTGACTCAACGACAATCAGCTGATATTTTATTCACCAGGGTTTACGAAGCTTTTCAGGGGTTTTTGTATGATTTTCAATATCACGAAATAAGACGAGAAAATCTGCTTATCATTTAAAGAAAAAAGTTTGTAATACCTGGAGAAAACAAATTGATTATACTGTGTGTGTTCTAGAAAACTCAAACCGATATCACATCCATTTATTTGTTTTGCTTTAGGCGTCGTTTGTGATACACTGTTTTTTTTTTTGCTGTATCATACTGAACACTGATAAGAGGAAACCGTTCTATGTGACCTCAGAAGAGTTCCAGTAACAATGCGTATTTTCGCATGACATAAATTCAGACATGGAGCGAAATGATAAGTTGAATGCTACTACTTTTGACAAATTAATCTTTTTCAGAACCATACATCCTTTTCGTAATATCCTTGCATATTGATGGCAGAAATCTGGTATACCTTTCATACTACCATAATATTTCTATATCATTATCCTTTTGTACACACAGCCTGGTTTATAAACTCTAATTGCACAGGCCCCCGCAGTTGCAAGCATCTTCTTGTTTCCTTGTCTACTGGCAACAGTGAATGACTTGACAGCGTCGATATCATGTCCGTAGTTCACAAGGTGCTTTGTTATTGAACTTTTTCGCACTTTGACCTCAGCTGTTTCCAACCACTTTGGTAAATGCTCCATCATGTGAGTACACAATCGCCTTTCTCTACCACCGTGTGCGTATTTACTTCCACAAACATACTCAAATTGATATACGCACTTTGAAGTGTCGAGAATCGGCAATTGATTTTCCCAGATTGTTGAAGTACTCGCTTGGTGGTGTTAAGGAAGACGAGTTTTGCAGCATAATAAGTTCTCATTAGGTATGAAGTCAATAGTCTCAGCGACTGGAACATTTGTGAGCAAGGAGGTAACATCGAAAGAGATCAGATGCTTAACAGATAAATTGACATCCTTAATTTGCTTGACAAACTGGAATGAATCAGAAACTGTATACATTCTAAAACGTTTTCCGAAAGGCTGCAATAATTCACATAGCTATTCACTGTGCTAATTTGTGGTATGGTGAATTTATCATTGAGAGTACAGGTCTCAAGGGCTCTCCTGGTTTGTGTATTTTAGCAGGTCCGTATAATTTTGGGACCTGTGACCTAGTCAGTTTGATATTTTTATATGTACTCTCAATGATGAATTCACCATACCACAAATTAGCACAGTGAATAGCTATGTGAATTATTACAGCCTTTCGGAAAACGTTTTAGAATGTATACAGTTTCTGATTCATTCCAGTTTGTCAAGCAAATTAAGGATGTCAATTTATCTGTTAAGCATCTGATCTCTTTCGATGTTACCTCCTTGCTCACAAATGTTCCAGTCGCTGAGACTATTGATTTTATATGCAGAGAAGCTGAAGACATACCTATCCCAACAACGAAATTGAGAAAATCCCCTCAACATTATTATTATTATTATTCAAGTGTTGGTTTGTAGGGATTTGATTGGTTTCAGGATTTCATCATGAGCTGACCTTAGTTACAGAACCATTGGAAAACCTGGGAGTACTGGGCAGCTGTTTCGTCCTAGTTTGGGACTCTTCAGCAATACGCACCCACCGGGATTCGAACCTGGTTGCTGCTTGATATATTTATGTCATTTCTCTGATGATTAATTGTTTATCTAAATGATGTTATTGAACCGTGATTCATTTTATCTTAATTTTAATCTGTCGTACTCCCTTCCCCTTATCTCTTTGAACATGACCTGAAAAACATTCACACGTTTCGTTTTGCATGATTAATTCAATGTAATTTATTTGCTTATTAGTCTTATGTTTCCCAATGTATTTTTGGTAGTCTATATATATATATATATACATATATATATATATATATATATATATATATATATATGCAAAGTATTTAGCTGAAGAATTCTACCGAAATTCTATGAATTCATTAAATCCTGCTTTATTCACTTTTGTTGCTTATTTTATGTTATAATTTGTATAATAGGTTGTCCAGATTATTTCACTGATTCTGTGCTCATATATAATGGTTATTTTGATTATGATTTCTTTAATGTTTTTGTTTTAGAATTACCTGACCTGTGGTTTGAATCCTCCGTCAACAGCTAAAAGTCATACAAATCCTAGGACAGCCGGTGATTTCTCAGGTAATAATCTTTTTTGCATTCTACCTATTTTATCTACACACTTCATACTTTTTTATAATGCATTAGGAAACTTAATCACATTTTCAGTTAGGAGTAGTTGATCAGAATATTTTTACAAGAAATAGGTGTGTTCCAGTCTTTGTTTACCCACTCTAGCCTTGACTGTTACGACTTGTAGGTATTGCGTGAGTTTTCGTAAAAGTGAAGATGATGTCCGTATGAAAATCAACACCACTGGTGAAGTAATGTTATACCGATTGAGATGTTGCTTTTTGAGTAATGTCACTTAGTACAGTAAACAGGAGAACCATAACATAATTGTCGATGGTTCCCATTTTGAGTCATTTGAAATCGATGATAGCCAGTTATTGTATGGTGACATCTATTATGCATGTATACATGTATTGAGAAATCACAATGATTTTCCAACTAGTTACCGTCTGTTACCAAGAAATTCACAAGCGTTATTCACCTATTCTTCAACACTGACCACTTCTTCATTATTTTCCAGGCGAATGTATGTTATAACGCTACAGAGAATTATTTGAAATATCATTCTTACATGTTAGGATCTGAAGTAACAAAAGAATATCTCTAGTGTGTCGGTGACGGCGTCAAAGGCATGTACTCATAACCACCTGACAACAACCTATTGTAGATCTCGTAGAGAAAATGAAATTGTAGCGTACAGTAATGAATTTTTGTGAACCTTAGCAATATCTCAATTGAGATAGGTTAGTCGATTGTAAGACACTTCTGGGATAATATTAACAGTCACTTATTTCTAAACGTCCCCCCGTCTTACATTCATAAAACAGATAACTGCTACTTTAAAAAAATGATGATTTGGTTGCCTATTCTAATGGCCTAACCACCTTTGTTAATTTGAACAAATTTTCTTAGAGGTCCCATCATGCCAGGAATGTTAGTTAGCTAGCGAAATAAATCAAAGCAGTTAACCTTGTAATAAGAAAACTTTATTTCAGATAATATATAAACATACAGTACAGAAACTTTCAGCTTATTTAGTTCCAAAATACTTACTCCTCATACGGGATTTACATGTAAAGTAATAATCTGAAGTATGTCATGTGACACTGGGATGTTGTATATGAAGAAAGAACCAATTCTGTACATTTTTTCTCAAGTTCCTTCAAAAATTGCACAGCGTTTATTTAGAAGGCAGTTGAATATGCGCGTGAGTATATGTAGTGGTCATTAGATATAATTGCATTATTAAAAAAAAATAAGAAATGCATAAGAGTTTAAACATTATGATAGGTAGAAATTCTGGTAGCCCAGTGATTTAAGCAGTTCACAGACGCTGTGTTAACTCACTTGTTAAATACTAAACTATGCACACAGAGGTTTTTCAAGTCACTGAAATTGCAATGGACTTGGTTTCTCTCAACAATTGATACGTAGTTTTTTGTTGATCCTAATTTTAAAAAAATTTTTACTATTGTTATTCTTTTACCAGTGTTATGCTTCTACTCTGTATTACGCCGATCTTAACTTAACCCTCCTTTAATTTCCGTAAAATCCTACTCAGTCTGGTCATTTATGCTACGTCACTCAGTCGACTTGTTTAATTTATACATGATTAGTGCTTTGTGTATTCGTCTTATTTTATTCGTTTGCTCTCCGAGAGGAGTATAGGGTTTCAGGCCTGAGTTTTGGAGTTTCAGTAGCAGTGGTATTTATTTTCTACGGGGTGAGGATGTTACCTTCACTGTTTACCGGGTTCACTTCCAACTAAGTGAGACAGGAGAGCGTCAGTCGGGAATCAAACCTTAAGCCAGATGCGTGGTTGGTGAACATTCTGTATTTTGCGTAGTTATTATCTGAAGCTTACGGCCTCAACGACACGTTTTTCTGAGTTACGGAATTTCGATTACAGAAAATCCCACATATTAACCCATCAGTGATATATATCCCGTTAAACTTTTGATACAAAAAAGACTGTAAATCTCATCATTTACATTTAGATAGCCTGCAGCTGGTCTCAGCCTATGACTATCTGCGCTCACTAATGACGGTCACTAGTAGTCCTTTTTGTCTGTTAAATGCTCCATAAAGAAGTAAACTTCAAAAGTGTGTACAACCAAAAAAACAACATCTGTTCACACAATGCCTTGTTTCCTTCATCTGTCCACTGACTATCATCCTAATCTCTTGCCATTTCTCACATTGGTCAGCCTAATCATTCACACTACTGTGCTAATCTCCATACAGTTTTTTTCATCTTTAGACTCTTCTGACTATTGTAAGTCAGTAGAATTTTTTTAGACCCAATTTCCTTCAATCTACCAACTTCATTAGTCGTAACTTTCATCTTTAACTGTGAATGTATATTGCCTCTCTCAGACTGCATACAAGCTCCTAGCGTAGTTAATGACACAACTCCGCCTGACGTTCAAATGAAATTAAATAGATTTTCAAGTGTTGGTTTGTAGGGATTTGATGTCAGCTCACGATGAAATCCTAAATAGATTTTACTAAAAGTTGTGTCTATTACAAAAGGAGAAACCGTTCAGTATAGTGATTTAAAAGTACATTGAAACTGAAAAAGAAATACCATTCCACTTGAAATATCTACAATAAAATACATCAAATCTGTTAATAACGAATGTTCAGCCATTTCACAGAGCAAGTCTGCATTGAGAGTTCTATTAAAGATAGAAAGTGTTACTGCTTAAATATTGAGTAAATTGATGAAGTTGTAAATATTCATTTATTGCTAGGGTTTTCGTGCATTTTCTTTTGCATCTTGAGGTACGGACTTCTTCCTCGACGACTGTAGGAGTAGTAGTAGTGTTAGACTGGAAAAAGTGTTAGGGCTCGCTATATCAAAACATTCTATCACCTCATGAAGTGATTGTTACTTGGCGTAAGCTGTTCAATAACGTGTAGATTTCCTGTTTCTAAAAATTAATATTTGGGAATCCTTGTTAGTTAAGTCAACATTGTTGTGGACTTAAATTTGACGAAATTAAGGGGGAAACAGTACGTGCACGCAAGTTACTTATAGCGACTGTTATTGTGTTTATGAATATTTTCTCCACGAAATAACTAAGCACAAAACAATGAATAGGACTAAGGTGAATGTAAAAGCCTTTCTTTCTTCAGTCGTACGGCATAATTTTGTGTAGAGGCAATAAATGCAACAAAACAAAGCCGTATTACTATTCCTTCATAATCACAGAAAAACAGTTGCCTGCTGCTGCGAATGTCTCAGCAGGTAGTACTTTGTGCATCGATAGTTCTCTGGTAGACTGTTCTCCGATTATACAATTGATCCAGGCTCTGTTCTCCGCTGATACATTCTTAAATCTCGCTTAAGCGTTAGTAAGCTCGATGATAAGGAAGCGTTGTACGTGAGATCAAAAACTCCACGTAAATGAAAAACACCGCGACTGGAACTTAAAAGCTCAAGCTTAAAGCCTTACATCCCACTTAAATAGCAAAAAAAATAAATAAGAAATCAGTCACAAATTTTCCCAGTTCAGTTGTCGATTTAAGCGAACCTCCGAATGACATTCATAAATCATATAATATATTTTCACTCCTCCCTAGTCGTTTATTTTTTACTACAATCGTGACAAAGTCTCGCTTTCTATTCCAATTTTCTTTACTTTTAATATTTAGACCCGACTTCTACCTCCGTTAGACCTTCTGAACTGGCAAACTGTATTAATAAATCTCAAAATGTCGAAAAAGAGGCATCGAGCAAATATTCCTGTACAGATTATGGAGATATTCATCAACAGTCGCTTGCGTCTGCCTATTTCCCTCAAACATTTTCATGAGTCAATACTCATTCTAAAATGAAACATAAGATATTTGAACTATCAGACATTTCTATAGAGTGAATTATTTAAATTTTTAGAAATGTAATTGTATACTGATTAAATGCAGTTGCATATAATTGTATTTAAAATATTAATCATTGCATTTGTTCTTTTGGTACTATTCAACCTACGTTTTTGTTGATGTCTTCTATTTTTGGTAAAGTTAAAATTAATCTTCCTGTAAGCCAGTTAATAAACATAAACAATTTAAAATGGATTCTGCTATTCTTACTTAAGGTATGTTTTCTCTTGTCTGTAAACATAAAAACACGAAACAGGCCAAAATGGTCGGATTCTGAAAGATCAGAAACAGTTAGACGAGACAATGCACAACACGTTTGCTTCGTGACTTATCATCATATGCAGAACCTCAGTTAATAATAATGATAGTAATAATAATAATAAATCTTTATTTCCGAGCATATCTTAGAGATTTTCAGCGTATTTAATTGCAAAATATTTACTTTTCGTATGGGATTTAAGTAAGTAATAATCTGAAGTATATAATGCGACGTAGCTTTTTTCGTTATCAAGACAGAAACCATATGGAAAAAGTTATCTTTCTCCTCTCCAGCAATTACGCAACCAACCTCACTATGCGTTGCCACATATCGTCCAATGGAAATTTCACAGAATTCCATGCTTCAGAAAACTAGGACCACCGAATAATTTCACGAATTATCGTCATACCAAAAAACAGGCACCTAGAAATCAGACAAAATGAAATATACTAGTAGATTCCAGCAATAAACAGTGAAAAGCATCATCACAAATTGAGGACTATTCTCCCACGTGCATACCAACCCACTACCACTTATTTCAGTCAGTGATTCACTCAGTGTAAAGGTATACATAAACGACAGCATGTAATTAGACGACACTCATCCAGTAAGTATCAATGTGAAAAGGAATTTTCAACTTCACCTCGAACTGTCCCGCTGTTTGACTATCTATTTATCCGTCTTTCTACCTGTCAGGTTGCTTGGTCTCACAGTCACCAAACATCTGACTCACAAGTCTATCCGATTTCAGGGAACCACGGAGATGAATCGATAAACATGGGACTCAAAGTTGTGGTAGACTATAGCGATGCCTACATTCATCTCACTAATTCTGTAGTCGTTTTTATGTATTTCTGTAATTCTGTCTGCAGCTGCATATTTTGAATTTTCGGTTGTGCTTTATTATGCCTTCTGCGGTGATGTTGGAATGTGCTTTGTTGTGATTTTTCATCTGTAGCTTAGTATGTATTACAGTTTTGTTATTTCTAGTGGCGTCTTCGATATGTTGTGATTTCATTTTCAGATGAGTCTCCTTGGAGAGATTCGACACTTTCGTGCCTCCTCAATTCCATGTTGATACACTCAGACGTAAGGATGTTTTCTATGTTGGTGTTTAGTTCTAGACTATATTTCTGTGTTAATATAAACCAATTGTGATCTAGATGACAAAACCTATTTATCATTGCCCTGAATATAATCCAAAACTCTCAGAAATAATGCTGTTTGTTATTTTTGTTAAAGAAGTTATAGCCTTCTAGCTTAATTTGCATCTCAAATGATATGCAGTCATAAATAATTGAACTCAGGATGGAGTTAGGTTCACTTGACTGCATACCCGAAAAGTCTAAAGTAACTCGTACCGACTCATAAAGCACAAAAGCGTTGGGGAACGCTACTGACTTTTCGTCAAGTAGGTTAGTGGACGGTCTAATATCTACATGGAATTCAACAGTATACAATATCACCGAAAATACCCATTGAGTCATAAAGAAAATAAAAGACGATTCAGCGAAGGGAATTTTCTTTATCCATCAAATCATCTTCAGAAGCTGTACAGTTGTACTTACATTTACCAAAAGTGTATAGTAGTCTATTATTGAGTAATAGGGGGTGACATAATTGATATAATTATACAGAAGTGGCTTTGGAAGTAAAAATAGAAGTTGCAGATTATATAATACTCATTGTCATAAAGGAAAGAAAGGTTAGAAATTTGGTAAGGTGAGTGAGGAGAAAGTTAGTTGGGTGTCAGTTTAACAAGTGTGAAAAAGGTGAGAAAATGTACCACAGGAACATATGAGAGTGATAATAGTGAATTAATTGTTAAAGTAAAAGCAAACTGAAGGTAAAATTAAAAAATAGAATTTTTTACAGGGAACGACTAGTGAATGGACAAACTTCTTCTGTATACAGAGTTCGAGGTTGTATTGACGAACCGCCAACTCCTCCACCACACACAAATGCTAAGACCTGATGTACCATTGGGCCTCACCTTGTAGATAATCTTGAAAAACAACTTTGGTGGAGGTGTGTAGCTTGGGTTCACCAAGTGCTCGAGAATCGAACTAGTAACTGTCTTGCATCGTTCTTTTGCTAACCATGCCGGATAATGTTTAGAAATGCGTTTGGAAAGTGTGTGTGCTTTGTGCGGCCAATATAACTAACTGCTCAGAAGTAGATGACAATGTGCCAAACAATTCAATTCAGCACTCATTGCAAAAAGCTGTATGCCTAAATACATTCTGTAAGTGTATCTGACCTAACTAAAAAGAAGTAAATCACACGTGTTGAATACTCTTCGGATTTGTTAACAACATTATGGTTGAACAGTTTCAGAAATCTGAGGATATTCTGGGTAGTCCTACGAAATTCAAGAATGTCAAAATTACCTCGGATAAAACACCTAATCAATAACAAGTAACTATAATTACCTTGGTCACGAACATGACAACTAAAAGTATAATGACAGTGCAAAAGTGCAGACGGACACCGAAGCGCAGAATGAAACTTTAGTTATGTTAAGCCGAAAGCTGACACACGAAAGTGAATGGAGACCTAAAGAAGTTGTATTAGTGTCGGGAATTTCGAAGTGCACGAAGCTGTAGGTGATCAAAGATTATTATTGTTCCGAATGGAACATACGGCTTCAACAACACATCTCCACTTTCTTCTATTTTCAGCTGCCCTCTTCATCTGGGCCCATGATTGACCAAAATCTCTCATCTTCTCCTCATCCCTTGGATTAACCACTCGTCGTTTTCCATTGTAATTCCACCCGAGAGCCCAGAGTGTGGAGTCATTCGACGGTCTACTCAGCGTCTGTCCAATCCATCTCCTTTTCCTCCTACATATTTGTTGAACGATAGGTTCTTTGTTATTTTTTGTTTTGGCTGGTCCTTTCCAGCCGGCCATTTGATCTTTAGTACGGAGATAGCGAAGACAGCTGTCGATAAAAGTCTTCGGTAGCCTGTTGGAAGTCCTTTTCGTTACACGCAGTGCAAGTTGCTGACCCACATAGAAGAAGTGATTAACTTCACATTTGTGTTTAAAAACCGAATCTTCTCGTTTATGCTAAGGTGGAGTGCAAAAGATTTCCAAACTGGCTTCAGGTTGATGATTGTGTATCTTGATGTTATGTACTGCTGCTGAGTGAGTTATTAGAGTTTTCCCCGTCGCCAATTATGTTATATACTCGTCGAGTAGTTAATAGTCCTGACGCGGAAAGAGGGAAATCAGAAGACCACCAGGTTTACGATGATACTTGTATTTTACCAGACGAGGAAAATAAATGTCATACGAGAGTGTGAGTGAAACGGTACGTAGTGTACGAAAAAACGTGGGAACAAGTATGAATAAGTGTTTAGTACAAAAGTATATATGAAAATGACTAATACACATGAACCAATAGAGAGACAGTCTTAACATGATTGGTTGTAATGTCATGTGACAACAAGGTCCTACATGTCTATTTAGTTAGTGGACAGACAAAAGCATATTGTTAGTTATAATGAAATATCGATCCATATACACAGCAAAATATAATAGACGGTCAAAAACAAAACACACATCATGTGGATACATATCACCTGACTTCTCGATTGTGGCTGACTTTGACACCTTCATCCGTGCCGTGTGACTGTGGTTGAAACGATGTTTCTTAGATAAGTGAAGGAGGTGACGTCTGTCAAATCTCTCCCGTCGGTGGTGGTGATTGGTGCTGCTGGTTGGTTGGGTATCTTCATCACCTCTGTCTTCTCTATGTTCACCTGGGGTCTTGTCTTCGCTATCAGCCCCTTCAGCTAGCTTTTTGCTTCCCGCCTGTAATTTATCGAGTTTGTGGGACATCTGAGAAATCTAGATTTTTAGAGCCATCTTATCGATTGGTTCGACGCATTTCTGTCTTCTGAGCCTCCCTTCCACTCACAGTCGAACGCATAATCTAGTCCACCACAATTGAGAATATCATCATGGGTTACAGTAGGCTGCCTTGTCTTACTTCTGTATTCACTTCGGACGCCTTGCTGAGCTCCCCGTAATGGATCACCTGACACGTGGCATCGTCATACTGCCGGCTGCTGAATGAAGTTGATGAAGACTTGAGGTGGACCGTAGTGTTGAAGTAGTTTCCAAATTGCGTCTCGGCGAACGCTGTTGAAGGCCTTCTCGAAGTCGATGAATTTATTGAGGTAGTGGTTTGACTGAGATTCTATGCTTTGTTCGATGACTATGCGTAGAGTTACAGCTTGATCAGTACATGTCTTGATTTTCCTGAATACAGCTTGTTCCGTCAGAGGAGTTCTGTATCCAGTGCATCCTTTATCCCCTCCAGGATGATACGAATTTAGTACTTTACTGGGCGTGGACAAGAGCATGATTCCACGCCAGTTGTTGCAGAGACCTAAGTCACTCTTCTTTTGCAGCTTGACAAGGTAGCCTTTCTTCCGATCGGTAGGCACCTTTTCTTCCTCCCAAGCACTTAGCGATAATGGCGTGAGCACATTTTCAGCAGTCTCTTGGTCCGTTTACAGTGCTTCGGGGGAATTCCATCCAGCCTTGCTGCCTCCCCGAGTGGACTTCAGTACCTTGAGTGCATTCAGGATTTCTGCTTTCGTTGGAGGAATGGTTTCCACTGACAAGCAGTTGTGTGAGTGCTGTTGGTGGTGGATATTTCTGGGAGAGATGCAGGTGATGGTTGGTTCAAGAGTCATTTGAAGTGATCGGCCCATTGTTTTATTTGTTTCTCCTCCTTCATAATCAGGTTCCCTTGAACATATTTTATTGTTTTCATCATCTGGGTTGCTCTCTTCCCGGATAGAGACCTGGTTATATGATGTAATATCCTGAAGTCTCTTTTATCTGAGACTTTTCTGTTTCGCTTTGGTTGCCGGCCAGTGTGTTGTAGAATTGTCTTTTCTGGCGCTCTTCCTCACATCTTGCGTTATCCAGAGGGATGTACATTGGTCTCAGCTTCCTACCATTCTGTTGTCCATCTCTGCATTGTTCCATCCCCTGTTTCACTATCCTTCTCTTTTCCACAATCATGACAACCTAGTTGCTATAGCTCATAGTCAGACTTACATGCGATAC